AGGAGTTTAGATTATGGCTCACTTAGAGAGGCTTTCATGTGCGAATATCCAGCCTGTCATCGAACGCTTTGTCGGGCTGCCAGCAATGGTGCGCTTTTTCAACTCCACCAAATCCTTCGCAGGTCAACACAGTGGGATGCCAATATCTAATCCTCAGATACTTCCAGTTTTGCTTCAGTTTCCATGCTCTTGCGGCTTGATTCTCCATTATCCCATCCTCTGAGGTTGTGCTCACTTTTTTTTTGGGGAGGGGAAGCCGGCATTTGCTACCCACAGGGGGTTATATAAAGATGATACAGGGGTTATATAGTATGGCATAGAGATTCTGCCAGGGGTACATAGGGATGCGGCTGAGAAAGCTTCAAGTTTGTTGCAGGTGACGCATAGGGCGACGCGGGGAAGGGCGACTTGATTTCGGCGAGGCACAAAAAGATAGTGACCGCAGGGAAAAGGCAAGTTGGGAAGAGACCAATCCTGCTTTACATGCACCATAGGCGCAAAGATATTACCTGCGGGATTTTGACACCTGACTGTCTTCTGCAATGTTGTTTTAATTGAGACGATTACTGAGGTTGGGCTTGTGACTAACATTTCTTGTACGTGCCGGGGTTATCACACATCAGCCNNAATATGCATCTCCCCATGTAGACGCTGCGTCAGGGAAAATATATATCATTGGGGAAAATATGCGTCACGAGATGCAAATCCCCAAGGAGACGTTGCGTTTTGAAGAGCCGGACAGAAGGTGTAAAAATGACGCTTATGTTGCAGACGCCAACGTTTCCAGCATGTTTCGCATGCATTTTGGCCACCCTACATCAGCAAATCCCCAAGGAGACGCTGTGTTTGGAAGAGCCGGAAAGAGTGTGTAGACATGTCATCTGCCAGGGTTTTTTGCATCAACACCTGTGTGCATTACTGTATGTACTCGGGGATTTTGCAACAGGAACCCACCGAAATGCTGATTCTGCTATGGGATTTCGCTTCAGGAGCCCCAGAGAAATCTTGTGTGTACTAGTGGGTTTATATTTGGAGCCCACCGAAATACTGATTTGCTATTTTGCTATGGGAATTCGATGCACCGCCAAACCGCATGTAGACGCTGTCATAAACAAGATTTTCATGATGATGCTGTTAAGCAGTGGCCATGCCCAGAACACGGTTTCCCCAAGTAGACGCTCAATCGATGCAACGCTAGTCGACACCAGGATGTCACGTTGAAACTGCCAAAACGCATGCAGACGCTGTCATCAACAAGATTTTCCTGATGATGCTGCTAAGCAGTGGCCATGACCAAGACATGGCTTCCCCAAGTAGACGCTCAATCGATGCATTAAAAACCGGACCGATGTAAGATAACCATACCACTTGTACTGCTTGCGCACATTTCCTGAGATTCGCCAGCGTGTTGCAAGAACACTAATACCTGACCAGCCAAAGTGAATTCTCCACTGAAACGTTGTGCCATTTGGGGGGGTTCTCAACATAGAGGTGCTGCACAGCAATTCTGAGGCGCCTGAGCGAGGATAACTGGCTAGGCTATCCCAAGCCAGCGTCCTCATCGTCAATTGCCCATTCCGACCGCAGCTGCAAGGATGTGGGTTCATCTTCCATCTCCTCAAGCACCTGCTCCTGCAATTTGCGCATCTCAAAGCACGTCAGTGACTGCTTCGATAGGATGAGGCATGGCTGCCACATTCTTCTAGAATGGAGCGGTGCGCAGAGGGAAAGGAAAACTGCTCATTTTGGGTGGGTTTTGAGAGAACAGCGCTACTACATTTAGATAGTCATGAAGAGATCATAATTGGATATATAGGCTGAGGGACAATGCAGGACAAGGAAAAGTCCTTTGGACTTTGTTTGCTCTACTCTCGGCTGGATGAGCTTCTGTGTAGGCCTAGGAAACAAACGACATTTTCTGATTCACAGCTACAATTCTAGCATGATGGTGGCTGCCATAGACATGCCTGCCGCAACTGCAGCGCCTGCAAGTGGTAATCATGCAACGAGGGCATGCGATTTGAGGCGGTCTCTCAAGTACAGTAAAGGGACAGCAAATCTGAGAAATGCCTGCCAAACTTCTCAAAGGCGGTGGTCATTCTGATATACCTCTATAAAAAGAGTTTAGGGTTTAGGGCTTACTAAAGTCCTGAGTGTAGGGACCTCACTAAACAGCCACCTCCAATTTCTGGAAACCCGGGCCCCCTCTACATCTGAAGTCTTCTGCCAGAAATTCTGAGTTTATGCCGAACCGTCAACCCTTAAGCCCCCAAACCCCTAAGCCGCAAAACCCCTGAACTCTAAAGTCCTTAAGGCCCTTTAGCCCTAAAAGGGCTTAAAATCCCAAAACATCCCGAAATTATCATCTCCTTTCCCCCCAACCCCCTTTAAAAAACAACTTCCGCCCATTTGCATTGGTACTATATTGCAGCGGGGGGGGGGGGGGGTAAGGGCTTCAGGGTTAGGGTTTGGGGATTAGGGTTTAAGGATTAAGGTTTGGGGCTTAGAGTTGAGGGATTACTGGGTTGCTGTTACAGAACCAAAATTTCATTACACTATTTGGGAAACCCTATTATTTACTGTACATATATATATATATAGATATGTATACCCATTATGGTAACTTCATTTAAGTTCCTTAACAGCACCCGAAACCCTAAACCAGCCCAGATTAGGGTTTATTTAGGGCTTAGATAACCAGGCCCCTTTCAGCAGTCTGACCTCGAGGTCGGAGCTCAGCTTGCGTGCCTCACCAGGTAGCCAGGAAGTTTTTCTTTTTTGGAAAAGAAAGGCCTTTAGAAGGTTTTAGGGCGGGGGAGGGGGGTTGGGGTGGGGTGGCGGGGGAGGGAGGGGTGGTGGTGGGGAGGGACGGGGTGGTGGTGGGGAGGGAGGGGGCGTGAACGCTGATCCATATCTTCTGGGGAAAGGAATCATTGCACGCACTGGGAGTTCGGAGCTTCTCGAGTTTGGATTTGCAGCTAAGCGCGCGCCGCGCAGGGCGTTTCCGGTGCCTCGTAAACAACCAAAAATGCAACCGCCAATTCTTGCAGCAATCGCCCAAAACGGCCCACCCAAAATGTTGGAAACTCTCGTGAAGGGTAGGTTGTTCCATGAGGGGAAGATACGCTCAGGGTTCAGGGCAGAGGGGGGAAGGGTGGTTCTAGAAATTATGGATCTCTCTTGGGGAGTTCCCATGAGGCGGGCCGTAATATGGAGGACGCCAATTTCTTCAAATAAAAGCAGAAGCCCTCTCAGTTTTGCTTGTCAAGCAGCTGTTCCTAAAAACAGGAACCCATAACACAAAACAGGCTAATTCGTATTATACTTGGAGGATCAGAGGGATGTAGTAAGTAGGTGAATAACCCCTATATTCCATATAGTAACCTTAGCTATCCCGATCATTCACCCACTTACTAAGTCCCCTGACCCTCCAAGTAAGGACCCCCGAAATGCATCTTGCGAACTTTATGGCCATCTAAGTTGTTTTCTGTGTGTGTGAGGCAAGTCAACCCTAGACCGTAAAGAGACTAAACCCTAAACCCTAAAGGGGCTAAACACTACCTGAACCCCCGAAGTTATGGAGAAGGATGTCCTTTTGGGCTGCTTTACAGGGTTTTAGGCCACTATTTTATCTACTGTTGGGGTCCAGGTAAACCCTAAACCCAAGCCTGCTCGGCAAGTTTGCGCGACATAGACTTGCTGCTGGTTGCATTGCTGGCCAGCGACTTCCTCATCAGAACCTCGGCTGAAGTGCTGGCAGCCTTCGAGGGCTTAGGGCTTAGCACGCAACCCCTATATGGGGTTTTCCAAAATGGGCACCTTTTAGGGTCCCAATAAAAAATTATAGCATGTTGGGGTCTATCTCGCGGTTTTTCCACGGGAAACTGCCATATACTTTCAGACCGCAACAGCCTCTGAGGCATCCAGGAGTAGACTGTTCTACAGACAGTCCCTTCATTCTGGTGCGTGCCAATGGCAATGCATACTTAAGGTCAGATACCTTGGCCAGGCTTGCCAAGAAGTATTCCCTAAGCCCTAAATCCCAAATCCTAAGCCCTAAACCGTAAATCCCAAGCCTTAAACCCTAAATCCCGAGCCCTAAACCCTGGAGGCCCCTGGAGGCGGGAGTCCCTGGAAGCCCTGCATGATGTTTACTCGAGATCAAAAGCAGGAAAACGGTGGGAATTGAGGGCGTAGCCCTAAACCCTGGCAGGAAGTAATTTGGGTGGTAGATGGTGATGTCTCGCAGCGGGTGGGGAAAAGGAAGCATGCCCAGCTTCGATGGCTTCTTGGGCAACATCCACGAGGTTCGCAGGCGCAGCGCGCCGCCACCCACAAATCCCTGGAAGTGGGGGGGCGCCATGGGCGCATGGATACTCAGCCCTGCGCAGGTAGAGGCCCTAAACCCTAAATCCTAAGCCCGAAACCCCAAATCCTAAGTCCTAAATCCTAAACCCTAAACCCTAAATCCTAAATCCTAAATCCTAAGCCCTAAACCCTCAACCCCAATCCTAAATCCTAAGCCCTACACCCTCAATCTCAAATCCTAAATCCTAAGCCCTAAACCCTGTTGCAAAAGAGGCGC